TGATTTTCTGCCTCCTTGGGGATGCATGTGTAGGATCAAGCAGTAGGCAGTTGTAGTGGACTAAGGGGCACTATGGGTGATTTGGCACTCATGTGCGAGCAAGCGGAAGTTCTGTTTGGGGAATTTTTTCTCCTAGGCTGCCCTGGAGTTTAAGTCCCACTGGAGGCCACTAAGCATGTCCTCAGGGGTGTCCCCAGCACAGCATGTAGACTCAACATCTGGCTGAGGGTGTCCCTTAAAAGGATGTGAGCCTGTGAGAGAGAGAAGACAACTGAAGGCCATCATCAGTATCCACCAACTGATGAGAAAGGCACAGTCCAAACACAACCTGCAGGGAACTGGGTAAACCACAGAGAAAACACCCTGATGTCATAGAATGGGCATCTAATGGGCATAAAGTTGACATGTTTTCCAGTGTCCACATGAAGGCCTGGGGCAGTAGTTCAGCTACAAGGCCAGGGATAGCCCAGAGAAGAGTTTAGGCCATACAGAGGCCAAAAACTATCTACTGAGCATTTAAAGTGTCATTATGTCAACAGAAGAAACATGCCTGGAAATTTGAGTGGCACACTGGGCTTTGACAGCCACGAAGGCACAGTTACTGGGACCCCTGCCACTGATGCTTTCTGTCTGCTGATGCCTGGGCTGCTTCCAGCCAGTGACCGGGGTGCTTGCAGAGCTGTTTCTGTTCCTGAAGACAGCCTTCCAATGGGTTATACTTTCTTTTAACTTCATTTATTATTTGGGGTTTTTTTGAGACAAGGTCTTGCTATGTGGTCAAGTTGGCCTCAAATTCTTTTTTTTTTTTTTTTTGTCTTTTTCGTTTTTATTGGTACCAGGGATCGAACTCACGACTACCTGCTTGCAAGGCAGGCGCTTATGCCGCTGAGCTAAATCCCGAGCCCCAGGCCTCAAATTCTTGATCCTCCTCCCTCGTGCTGGGATTATAGGCGTGCACCACCCTACCATGCTTCTAAGGGGCTATTTTCATTGGCCTGGGATTGCCCACCCACTGACTGAGGCTTCTTTGAGCCCACTGGAATCCAATTTTTCCTTTTTGCTCTCGTTTCCCAGACATAGACTTTCTGCCTCCCCTGGTTCCTTTCCCCTTTATGCTTCCCAGGTGTTTTCTCCAGTACATGTTTGTGTGTCTAACTCTGTACGTCTGCTTCTGGGAGGACACAATAGATAGCCCAGTACATTTGAGGTTTGGGTTTCATAGTAGATTCTGGAAGCATCTCTTAGGTTTATTTCTTCATCTAGAAGATAGGACTAGAGACCATAATGTGAAGGGAAATAAGACATATGAGCTTAAATATCACATGGTTTCTCTTACATGAGAAACACAAAATATAAATAAAAGATAATGTGAAATAGGGAGATAGATCTTTTGCAAAGAAGGGGACCAAAAGATGGAGGGAGAGAAGGGAAGAAAGGGAAAGGGATGGGGCTGGGGGTTTAGCTCAATAACACAAGTACATGCCTGGGAAGCATGAGGTCATGAATTTGATCACCAGTACCAAAAGATCGAGAGAGAGAGAGAGAGAGAGAGAGAGAGAGAGAGAGAGAGAGAGAGAGAGATACGAAACAAGAGTTGAGACATTATCTGCATGTAACACCACCTCAGGAACAATATAATCATTATATACCGTAACATGTACTAATGAGATATATAAATTGAAAAAAATAGGATGGGTATAACTTTACTTTTGTGCTGGATTGCTATAAGATCAGAGAGGATAGTGCACACAGATGATCCCAATTTAGAGCAGCTAATTGAGATACTGTGAGGGCTGGTTTTGTTGTTAGTGGTTTTTTGTTTGTTTTTTGATACAGGTTCTCTTGTGATTGGTTCACAGCCCATACACTAAAATTTGATGCAGATTCTCATTATATAGTTCAGGCTGGCTTTGAACTTATGACAATCCTCTTGGCTTAGCCTTCCAAATGTTGCAGTTTTAGGCATGTGCCACATCTGGCTTGTTTTGTTTTGTCTTGTTTTGTTTTGTTTGAAACGGGCTCCGTGTATCCCAATTTGGCCTGGAACTCATGACTCTTCTGTATACCAGCACACTCGGTTTAGTGTTTTATTTTTCTGTTTTGATTTATTGACACGGGTTCTTGGTATGTAGTACAGGCTGGCCTTGATGTTACTATGTAGCCCAAGCTAGCCTTAAATTCTCAGTGATACTCCTACTTCAGCCTTCCAGGTTTCAGAATTATAGGCCTGTGTTACCATATCTGGCTAGTTCAGTGTTTTCTTTGAAGAATAGAAAAAATGTCTTCTTCTTGTTCAAGGCCAGGCAGGGGCAGGCTGGAAAGAAATGCAACGGGTCCCTCCTGGGAAAGGATAGGGCCTGACTCTTTCTGCTGATGGGCTCTTGGGAGAGGGGAAGGCTCTGCATTCACCCGTATGGTGGGGTAGCAGCTCCTCTGCCATTATGGCTTCCTACTGGGACAGGTATGATGTCAGTTCCTGGGGAGAAGGAAAAGGAGGGGTGAAAGGACCTCAGAAATAAGGTGGCTCCTGTGCAGCAGCTTCACACAGTTGGAGCCCAGACCTGGTAGTCCTGACTGCTCAGGGCATCCCTTCCCACTGTTCAAGGCCGTTGGCCTGGGAGAAGTTACTAACGCCACCTCCACCCACTGTGTCCTGGAGGAACTGAGCTTCTTAGAATGAGTATCTTCTAACAGGGCCCCTGTCCTCCCAGGAGCCAGCTTGTAATACAGGGCTTAGCGCTGTGGGATCAGTGCTGACCTAGAAAAGGGAAAATTCCAGAAGACAGTCCTTTATGCCCAGTCCTGAGAAGCCCTGTTCCTGGTGACCCAGAGCCTGCAGGACTCTAACAGTTCTGGCCTAGGTGTCCAGTCTAAGGCAACTCCCACGAGGCCTGGTTTGACCGCTCCCCTCTTAGTTTTTCGTTTTTTTTCTGAAACTGGGTCTCCTTATGCAGCCTAGGTTGGCCTCAAACTCAAAATCTTTTTGCCTCAGCCTCCTGAGTGCTAGAATTATAGGCATGAACCACTGCACCTGCCTAGCAGCTTCTTCTAAGGAGTCCGTTTCCCAGAATGAAATGGTAGATGACATAATATTCTTTGGGGACTGACTCTGGGCAGCACTTTGCCAGTCTTCTTGCGCTCCTCCTCACCACACCACACCACACCACACCACACCACACCACACCACACCACACCACACCACACCACAGGAATCCATTTCTGGCCATGAGGATGCTCTGTGGCCCAGCGACCCTTTTCTGACTGGGGGAGAGTAGCCAATGACCTAATCACCAAGGGACCTCATTTGTCTCCCATTGCTGGGGGCGGGGTAGGGACTTGTTGGCTGGACTGCATTGTGTTCTTCTCGAAGAAGGGGACAGGGAGAATGTTGGCAAGTGCCTCTAGCCACAAAACTATCTCCCCTTCATCTAATCTTACTTCCTAGTCCCTCTTCTACTTCCCTCTTCTACACTAGCTCTCTCAGTGTGGGCCCATCTGTCCCTGTCTATCCTTCTGTCCCTATTTGAGAAGCACACACACCTGGATTGAATACCTTGAGCAGGTTACTTACCTTTTCTGTAAAACAGGCCCTCGACCATTCTGAGGATAAACTGGATAAGGTCTGGGTTCCCTCCTGAAAACCTCGGTATGGGGGACTGGCGTCCCAGGCAAGGAAGGAGGGGGACAGAGGGCTCCTGGAGGTCTGGTGGCTCAGAGAAGGGCTGGCAAAGCACCCTGTGTACCTAGCGCCGGGGCAGAAAATATCCTTCTCCCTCATCCCAACAGGTCTCAGAGATCAGGTGCTCAACCAACATCTCAAAGAACACTTACAGCTGGGCCTAGAATAGGCTCTTCTGCTCATTTCTCTTCATTAGTCAACATAAAATACATGTTTATTCCCATGCAGTGGGGAAAATGGAGGTTGAGAGAGATAGTTAGCAAGTGGAGCTTGGGTTTGATCAGTGTAAGTCCCCAGAGGCAAAGGACCTTGACACATGGGATCAGGTAAGGCCTCCTGAGAAACCTGAGTGCCCACAGAAGCCATCTCCCCCAAATATGGGGAATAGAGGTAATGTTCCTATCCAAAGTCAGGTCAATAGCAAGGCTTGGTACAGAGAGCATCTGTGAGGGGTCCTCCTACCTCCTCTGGGCTCCACCCTTTACTACAGGATTACGTCTCTAAAATATAGCAGTCCCCACTTGGGGTGTAACTAGGACTAATAAGGAAGAACTAGCTCTGGCTTTGCATTTCTTGCCCGAGCACAGCAGGCACAGCCTCCTGTTCCCCATCCTTTGGCGGGCCTGGGAGCTCTGCCGAGCTGTGGGGTGATAGGTCATGCTAAGCACTGCTCTCTCCTGCTCTGGTTCTTTCCACACTGCCCACAGTTTCCTGAACATAATACAGCTCCTTGCCCCCTTCTCCTTTGCAGTGCTAAGGATGGACCCCAGGGCTTCAAGCAAACTAGGTAAGTGGTCTACCCCTAGCTACACCCTCAGTCCCTTCCTTGAATTCTCTAGGCCAGGAAACAACCCTGCCCTTGCTTATGTGAGAATCCTTTGGGGGGAACTCAAGAAGTACTCCTGAGCGTATGGTGGCACACATTGTAGTCCAGGAGCTGGGAAGGCCAAGGCAGAAGGCCAGCCTGGATAACATACAAAAATCTCATGTCGGGAACTAAAAAAGAGTGAAGTATTCTTAAGAAGAGGCAGCACCCATGTCTTTTCCCTACTTACGTCTTCAGGAAATAACTCAGGGAGGAATGCTCTGGACCTGGGGCTTCTTCTAACCAGGCTTGCTCTTTGGTGACATCTCAGATCCAGTATGTTCTATTAAAAGTCCTCAAGGGATCCATGGTATAGCAATGGCCTACTGAACCTGCCCAAGCAAGTTATACCTTGTTTTATTGTCTCTCCATGTAAAGTGCCTCATTTGACCTGGGGAGGTAGCCGTCTAGGAGGCTTGAGTCACTACTTTAGAGGGGAGTCACAGAGACGTTCACTTTGTATACAAATAGCTTTATTTAAAAAAAAATCAGCTGGGAGGGGGTGTATAAGGATTTTATCAAAAAGTACAAATTTTAAATAAATGCATCAGAAAAACGGCAAACAGACATGCCAGCCACAGTGGTAACATTGAAGGCTTACAGGGAAGGCAGACAGGACAAGAAAGGATGTTCCCAGAGCTATAGAAAGAGGCTGGATATTTGGATGCCTGCAGAATGCTGGAACTACCAAGTAAGAGCCTTCCTTCAGTTTTCCTTTCCTTGAAAAAAATGGACAAAAATCTGGCAAGTATAGTGAATTTTGTCTGGAGCAGGGAGGCACCAAAGTCATTTACAAGGCACAACTGCTCACTCCAGTCCTGAGGCACATGGGGTGGATGAGTGCACCTGAGGGTTGGTGGTGGAGTGTGTGTCAGAGTTATAAGGTCCGACACCACCCCAGGTCGGCCAGATTAAATTACAATGGACCAAGTGCACTGTACAATCCCTGCAGCCAGGAGCTCAAGTGTCCCTGAAGTAGATGGGCCAAAGCAAACCACATCACACTGGTACTCAAGATAACCCCGGGGGAACAGTAGCCTCCTGTCTCAACCTGTCTCTAAGCCACTATAGGTACCCAACCTGGCCTAGGAGTTCCTGGGGCAGTCCCTACCATCCCAGCTTCAGGAAAAGCCCAAGTCCCCGGCCAGTTTCTCTGAATGGCAGGGGAAAGCACAAGAAGCTGGCATCAAAACCAGTCCCCAAAAGCTTCTGGCCTCACACCCCTGGTCACTGGTGGCAGGCCTCCCTGGAGACATTGGGCAATGGGTAGGCAAAGAGGGAGAAGTCCAAGATATACTTTGGGAGCACATCCTGCAGCAGAGCCTGTGGGACACTGCACAGGTGGTAGTGCAGGCTTTCGGGGCTGACTGGCCGGTACCAGGCCTGGCGAGCTGGGAACCGGACATGGGGTGGCGCCCCCACCCACTCTAGCACCTGGTTGGCATCAGCCTCCAGTCTTTCATAGGTGCCCACAAAGTTGTAGTGCACAGCGCAGGGTTGACACAGGTGGTACACAGGCATCCAGTGTTCATTCATGCGCTCTGGATCCTCTTCCACCAGGTATCTCAGGAATTCTGCGAAGGTGACATCATCTCCTGCTGGGGTAGGTCCGGCTCCAGGCCGGTACCGCCTCACAATCTCAGCCCCATAGCGCTGCTGGTACTCTCGGATCTCGCCAAACTTGTTGCGGTAAGCAGAGAGAAGGCGTTCCAAAGGGTCCCGCACAAACAGGAATTTGAAGTAGTGCTGCAAGCGGTAGCGAATTTCCTCGGGCCGCAGGTCTGCCAGGAACACCAGGTCACTGTGGTGGTCCATCTTGAGGCGGACGTCCACGTTGTCCAGGACGCCCGCCAGTACCTTCAGCACCCGCTTCCAGTTAGAGCAGGCCACCTTGGGGACGTAGCAGTAAAGGAAGCGGTGGCGGTCACTCACGAGGATGTGGCGCAGGAGGGTGCGCCGCTGACCCACCGGCAGGTCCCAGGGGTCCTGTGGCATGCCTGGCTGCCGGCACACCGCCCGCAAAGTTCGGTTCCGGACGTCCTGCAGCACTCGCAGATCTGAGTCCCCGGCCTCTGGGGTTGGTGCTCCAGGATCTTGAGCTGCCGCACGCCAGGCCGCGCCCTCGCGACTGGGCGGGTGCAGAGGAAGGGGTTTCATTTCTGCCAGGATGCCCCGCTCGATCATGAGCAGCAGCCCGCTGGAGGCCACGATCACCGCGAACATCAGCATGGACGGCAGCAGCAAGGGCGGACCCCCCAGACCGGCCCGAGCTCGGCTGAGCGGGGCGCGTCTCAGCGTCCGGCCCCGGGGCTCGGCGCCATTTGGGGCCGCCAGCGGGGTCAGCGGGCGGGGGAGCATGGTGCTTTGGGCGGGGGCTGGCGCAGGCCGGCCCGGCCCGAGGGCTGCCGCGGTGGTAGCCGCTCCGGCCAGGGGCAGGCAGGGGACCTGGCTGGGCCCGCAGTCTGGCCTGATCCGAACCGAGGGCGCGGCCGGCTCCCCGGCCGAAGCGCCGGGGCAGGCGGCGAGCGGGCGCAGCCAGGGACTAGAGCCGGATGTCCCGCCCGGCCGCGCTCGGCTCCCGGCCACGCCGTGACACAGGCGCGGGGGCGGGCCCACGCCGGGGGCGGGGAGAAGGCGGGCGTCCTTGCGAGGGGAGGCTACGCGGGGTCCCCTACCCGGGAGAGAGCCAGAGCCAGGGCCGCCCCTCACCTGGAGCATGGGGACTGACTAGAACTTGCCGAGAAGCGAGGGTGGAAAAAAGTCAGGCCTTGCACCCACCACCCTGCTGCAAACTTGCCTGGCTCAGCGAGCCCTTCTTTCTACTGTGGCCCTGGAGGTGGGGAGGCCACAGGGTTAGAGAAACACGGACACGGAGGAGGCCTTTCTGGCTGGAAGCAGAGTTCCCCAGTGTTTTCCCCCAGCTGCCTTTACTTCCCTCAGACCAGCACGTCCTGGCCACCGCAGATAAATAGGCACTGGCCGATGCCCATACTATTCCCCGAGGACTATGTTTACCCGCTGGGTAAGCTAGAAATGGACCTCTAAACTCACATTAGTGGGGTAACTGGGACACTCCTGAAAAGGGGCTAATGATCCCTGTGCTTCAGGATCACTAGCGTGGCAGGCCAGGATACTTCTTGTCTTTTTTCATTTTTATCGGTACCGGGGATCGAACTCACGACCACCTGCTTGCAAGGCAGGTGCTTATGCCGCTGAGCTAAACCCCCAGGTCCGCCAGGATACTTCTTAAAGAGTGAGCTGGGGGCACAGAGTAGCAGGGAAAGCCTCCTTGCCTGGTGCCAAGTGTGTGCTCAAAGGACGAAGCTGGCCTGGACGTAGCTAGAGGCAGACTCAGGGGTGCCCTGTACGGCAGGAGCCAGCTGTCCCTACTGGAATTGAGAACCTCAGCATCTACACCTGACCACGCTGCATATAGGCAACCGGCAAGGTGCTGAAGCAAAGCAGCCGTAGGCTTGAGGCAGGTGCCTGACAAGAATTTTATGTCTTTCTCAGTTGTCACAGCCACCTTGGCTGGTAGGTAACACGGACATCGTACAGCATAAGTAGCAAAGAGGCTCAGGAATGCTGAGACTCGCGTAAGTTGTTGGTCTTATTCTAAAACCCTCATTCCTGGTCATGATTAATGGAGCAGTAAGAATGGATGGGAAGAAGCAGCTGACCTCAGGACCGGGTGATGGAAAAGAACAGAAGGGACAGGACAGGAGGAGGGGTGCTGCTACTGATGAGTTCTGGGGATGAGATAGAATTGGAGGGTGTCCAAGATGGCTTTCCAGTGCCAGAAAGAGTGCACACAGAATAAGTTGGGGAAAAGAATGGGGGTTTTGGGGGTCTTCTGGTTCATTAGAGGCTTCCGGGATCCGTTTACAAGCTGACACATCTCAGGCCACCTTTAGCCTTGATCCCACTGCTGCCTGCTTCCAACAGCACTAGCAATTGATTTCTGGTGGCAGGATTAGTTTTTACTGCTATCATTTTTTTCTCCTAACAATGTAGAGAAGAAATACAGAAAGATGCTTTAAAAAGTTTTGACAAAAAAACCACGTGTGCCTGTTTGTTGGAGGTCAGCTTTACGTGCTATCAGTCAGTGAGGCAGTCTTAATTCTGGGGGAGCCTGGGCAAGGTGCTTATCTGTGTGCCAGTTTCCTGTAAAAGGATAGGCTACCATACAGCTCAAAGGACTTGTGGGCAGCACACGATGGCAGTGCAGTGTAAGTCCACAGTGGTGTCTGTGCTAAAAGCTCCTTGGAAAGCGAGCACCAGGAGTGAAGAGCCATGCTTTGTCTTCCAGAGTCCCCCACAGGATTAGAATCTGCCAACCCCTCCACCCCAGCCTTCTCAACACTGATGCTTCAGGCCTGGGTGGAACCAAGGGACAGTTAGTCACAAACCCTGAATCTATAATATAGCCTCTAGCCCCTCAGCAATTAAGGAGCACCAGGTACAAGATAAAGACCCTGGGACAGCTTTTGCTGGCTGGTCCTACAATGTGATTAATTCTTTCTAGCACTTTAGGGACCAACTGCCAGGTCACTGGCCAGGTAAAGCCTGACAACACAGGACTTCACACAGAACCAGGCAGGAGCTGTGACCACCATGATGTCAAGAAGTCAACCTCAATTTCCCATTCCCTTTGTTTGTTCTCTTTTTTCCCCAAATTTCCTACTCTCGTTTAGTGGCCTCAATGGGCACCTGGGCCATAAGAACAAAGGAGGACCCATGCAGTAAGGACGGTGAGTCCCTCCAAATTTATGTATCAAAAATGACAGGACACACAGGAAACGATCCTTTTCTAAATCAATACAATTTCTCAAATTTATTATTTTCTTAAAGAAGTACTTCTAATCTCTGTCAAAAGGGAGGTGAGGAAGGGTTCCCCTCCCTTGTAAACACTGAAATACAGATCTGGGAAACCAGGATCGACACACACAAAAAGTGCATTTTACAAAATATCAACTAAAATATATTTTACATGGATTATGCTTCCATTGAAATTCTACCAGCTGCATTTTCAGATTCAAAAAATATTTCCACATCTAAGAGACTTCAAAAGCATTAAGTCCTGGGCAGCAGACCCTACCTTCTGGGAGGACGGGCCTTGGTCTCCTCTCCTGTAGAGGAGGCCGAACTCCTTGGCAGCACCTTGGGAATGAGGGGGCTCCAAGGCTAGCTCTCCAGGGTCCCCACTGCAAGCCAGCCAATCTCTTCCTGCCCTGCCTTCCCAGGCTCATGCCTTCTTCCAAACAGCTTATTCAAAACAAGGAGACCAGATCCCTTCCCTTCAGATGTGGGAAATCCAACTCTGGGGCCTCCAGACCCAACCCAGCCCAATGACCAATCAGGAGCAAGCCATCTTCTACAATCAGGACAGGGTTCACGGGTGCACTCAGGATTCACTTCCACCTCTCTGTGGCTCCTGTGGACTGTCCTTACCCAGTGCCATCTCTGCAACCTGCTGGGCCTGTCTGCCCTTCCATGGGAGAAGACCCAGTGCTACCTTCCTTGGCTATCATTCCTGTGGAAGTGTTCAGCTAGCAGGTTCTCAGCACCAGGTCCAAGTCACACTGCACCCACTTCCTCTCCCCACTATGCTCCTCTTTGGTACAACTAGGAAATAACTAGGCTTCCAACCCCTCAAAGACAGCCCAGGGTTAGGGGCAGTCTAGTCCAGGAAAGGACAGTAGGGGGCTGAGTGGCCTCATCAATCTATCCTGGGGAGCAGCTGGAGTTGAGAGCAGGGCCTCTGGCTGGGCATAGAACACACTGAAAATGCAGGTCTGCAGCTACTCAAGGGAGAGGCTGCAGCTCAGCAGGTCTGTGGACTGCTACAGTGTTGATTCTGGCTGGGATGTAAATTAGTGCAATCTACAAAAGACTAGGGGAAGGGGTGGCAGGGCAAGGGGAGCCACAGCGCTCCTTTGGTTTGATTTCAGGTGGGTGTGGCTTGAAGAGTCATGTGTGAAGTTCTGCAAGAGGTTTCCCAGAACCTCCAAGTGTAAGGCAAGAGGAAGAATCTTCAACAAATCAGGTAGCAATTTTCCTTGCCCCCTGCCCCCCACCCTTTCCCAGCACCCATCTTTCTCCCAGACATGACAAACTCCACAATGATCAGTTAGTTTTCTGGAAAGTCAGACCTTCTGGGCACCCCTCAAGAGGAGGCAGGCAGGAAGCTGACTCCCACAAGTGGGCCACCTATCTTGACTGTCAAGGGCCAGGTCAACATGTCCCAGCATCAGTGGCTACTTCAGGGGCAAAGGAAAAAGGCCAGGGAAATGGCCCAAGGCCAGGAAGAGGAACTCAATGCTCTGGAAGCCAGCCCCTGGCGCTCTCTGCCTCAAAGAACAAGCTCAGAACTGTGCTAGAATCTGGGAGAGCCTGGTCCCAGGCTGACAGGGAAGCAGCGGGTCACAGTGGGTGAGGTAAAGCTGGCTCTGGCCCCAGTGGAGGGCTCAGGGGAGGCTATGGAAGGGCCTGTTGGGCTTGGTTCCTGAAGGACCTCACTCCTCCCTCCTTGCCCAGGTGCCTCCCTAGACTGCGTCCCTCAGGTATGACCCAGCCTCCGGGAAGACTGCTTCTTCAGGAGCGTCAACCCAGGGAATCACAGATAGGCATCCTGGGCCAACCTGAGGGCCTTGATCCTTTTCTTAAACCCTGACCTACCCTTCCCTCCCAGGGACCCAAACTCCATAGGGGCCCCTGCCCTCATCCCCTCAAGAGAACCACAGGACAGCAACCGAGACCCTGTGGCCCCTCAACCAAGTGCTGTGCTTCAAGCAGTGCCCCCTGCCCAGAACCCCACTTGCTCATGGGCAGCCCCAGTGTGGGCGCAAGGAGGCTACTGGGGGTTCTTGAGGATGCGGCCATGGCGGAAGTCATAGACATGGCGGCAAAGGAACACCAGCTCAGGGTCCGTGTCCTCGGGCACTGTGCGGTGTGGCGGGGTGGAGTAGTCTGCAGAAGGAGGCACCAGTGCTGTCTTTCGGCTGGGAAGGCCCTCACCTCGGCGCTTGGCCATAGCACAGAATCTGTAGTGACAGACCATTTGCTTCTTTACCAAAGCCACTTTTACAGGGAGAACAATTCCTTCCCCACTCTGCCTGGAGAGCTGGAACGACCCTTTCTGCTCCCAAAGGGGACTCTTGTCCTGGGGGCTGAGATGGCTTTGCCAACCATGTTATCTTCTTTGATGTAGGGGAGTCACACTTGCCAGGGCTTCCCTCCCAATCACCTGCCAGTTCTCCTAGATTTTCTATAAGAGTAGTACTGTCAGCCCCCAATTCTGCTTCAACCACACTATCTCAATGAGGCAACAATTTTTCTTCTTCACTCTGAAACAATTAGATGATGAAGGCAGGTTGTAGGGAAGAAGGTCTGGGAGATTAGGCCAGGTGAGTGAGACTGGGCCCAAGCAGAATGCCATTTCCTTGGGGATCCCATCCTCCCTCTTCCCCAACAGTCTCAGGGGGCCCGAGGGGAAAAGAACAGCCAGAGGCTGCAGGGCTCTCTCTACCCACCTGCAGTACTCAGCAAAGGTCAGCACGTAGCATTTCTCCTCAATGCAGGCTACACTGTTCTGGTCCTGATGTCGAGATGCAAAAACTTCATTCTGCAAAGGCTCAAGGTGAGACAGGAAGAGGCTGGTTACCAGGACTGAGAGGCACGTGACTCCAGGGCATGCAGGCATTACCCTGCTGGGCTAGGCAGACTCTAGCAGGCCTGGGACCCTCTCTGGAAAAGCAGCCTGCAGGTAAGTATGCATCACTTACTGCCTCCAGGCACTCTGGTTGGGCTCCTCCCAGGTCCCACCCTACTCAAAAAATAGTCTGGTACCTGCTCTGGCTCCCAGACCTCTAGATCCCTGACTGCCCACCCCTGCTCACCCTCTGCCCATGGAAGAAACGGAGAACTGATCTCCATCTAAATGAAAGTTCCTACAAAGGGGAAAGGAAGTAAAAGGTAGGCCTGGACACCCCAGCAGGTGGCAGGAGGAGTCTCATCTGGTCTTTTCACACAATAGGGAATACCAGGGTTAGGTGTGCAGCCCACCTCGCCTGTCCTGTTACAACACATCCTTGCTCACATTTGCCAAGTCCTGGCCTTAAGGGGTCCCTTTCTACTTCTTCATTTGAAACATGAGCAGGAACTGTTGGACAAAGGCTAAATTCCAGTGGTTCCCCAGGTTCTCTGGAGTTGACCACCTTAGGACTTGACCACCCACGGCCTTCCCCATGCCATGTCTCTGCACCGTGACCTCATACTCTACTCTGCCACCTTCCCTGCCCCTGCCAGGCAGCTCACCTCATGCATGCTGGGGCTCCGGCCTCCCTGTAAGTGCTCAGGTCTGTAATACCATAGGAGGCTCATCATCAGCTCTCCTGAAGAAACGACAGAAGGGAATCATGCTGGAGGTAGCAACCCCAGTTACTCAGGCAGACAAGCTGGCCACTTGCCCCGCAGGCCTGTCCAAACTTGATACCTGGCTCCCTGCTCCAGGGGAAGCACTCAGTGGCCTGGAATGCTGTTAGGCATGGAGGAAGGCAGGAGGAGGTACTGACAGGTGAGGTATGGGGGACAGGTGCTCTGGTGGCTGACAAAGTTGTTAATGTGCTGACCCAACTCCAGCCCCCAAATCATCACAGGGTTGGCAGCAGGCAGACCCCAGGGGAGTGGAAGGCAGACTCTGTGCCAGGCCAAGATCGAGGCAGAGCTGACCAGGTGCCTATTGTCCTAGTGAAGGCAGCTGCCTGCCCTGTGGGTCCCCAGTATGAGGGATGCATACCTGACTCGGGGTTCTCCCAGAGGGCAGAAATCTTGGCCACATAAGGTGTAGATGTCTTTCTTGGCCCTGATTTGAGGAGAACAGTGTCCCGGACTCGGATTGTCTCTCCGTGCCGCTCGACTGCCTGGTAGCTCTTTCGGATAGCTGGTTCTGGCTCATCCTAGGCAGATGACATCCAGTGACACTGACAAGCTTTCAAAGCCCCACACAGAGGGAGGGCAGAGGAAGGGAATGGCACTGTCCTTACAATTTCCTAAGGTTGGTCTTAGGATTGCGCATGCTGGTACTCTGGGTCTCTCTCTCCAAGGCTGGTTTTCAGTGGTAGAGTGGGGAGAGAAGGGACACAGGTGGGAGAGCAGACCAAAGCTTCCAAGCCCTGAGAGTTAGCTCTGCAGAACTTCACGAGAGGCTTGTGTTCTCACTCTCTCCTCATAGGAAGGATGTCTGGGTTTAAACTCTAAGCCACTGGTTTAAATGATATAGCTTTGGGCAAATTTTTGAATCTGCTTCTAAGCTGGGGGCTCATATCTGTAAAATGTGGATGATTACAGGACTACAGGGTGTGAGGATTAAAGGGGTAACATGTACCAAGTGCTTGGCTCAGCTGTGGCATCACATTCAGCAAGTATTCAATGCACTTTAGCTGATACTCTTCAATATCTCAGATATTCTTGTACCACTAAGTTTCTCTGCCCATGTAAGCTCCCGCTATATATACTTGCCAAGGAAATCTCCAGAAAGCCTTCCAGTTTGTAAACTTAAACTGAAACTGTAGTTAGGGATGCAAGTGACAGAGTGGGCAAAAATGAGAGGTGAGGAAGTATCAAGACTACACTGAGGTCAGCGACAGACAGAAACCATCAGCCGACACCTCCCTGAGTCCACAACCTCCCCAAGGTATGTGGTACAGGGGCTAGGGCAGGGGGCTGGGCCAGCAGGACTGGTTTGTGAGGTACCAGAGAACTGCTGCTCTTTGTCCCGGTGCATAGCCAGAGCCATCTCACTGCTGGTCTCATGTCCTTGTCTTGCCTATCAGCTAAGAGCTGGCACTCACCAAGACATAGACGGCCTTCTCACAGGCAGCTCCAACAGGCACCCAGCCATTGGTGCGGCGACGGCGGCGGCGGCGAGGACGTGGACGCTGGGCACGCGGCTGCTTAGGGTGGCTCGGCCTGCGGGCAGCCTTGCTTCTGGCATTGTGCCTGCAGCCAGAGCCTGTGCGCAGACCTGACTTGGAGCCACTGGGAGGCTTGGCGCTCTGAGGGCATGCTCGGGCTACCGTCTGGGGCTCCGAAGTAGGGGTCTGAAGATAGGGGACAGGCTCTGCTGCAGGTGGCACGCTGGGCACAGGGCATCCCAAGAGCGGGTGTGCAGGGGAAGCTGGGTGGCCAGCTTCTGGGAGAGGAAATTCCAGCTGGCCCAGGGACCTGCAGCTTTCTAGAAAAAGGGGACAGTGGGTGAGGGCAGGTAAAGACAAGCTGCAGCCCTGCTCACCACCCATCTTATTTCAGAGCCTGTTCCTCTCTTAGTTCTAAATATGTACACAGAGGCCCTGAGGCAGCAGGCAGACAATGGCCTCGGCAGGGATTGTCAAAGTGACTACCCAAGGAAGCAGGGAGGAACTTCTAGATTGCAGGGATTGGCCAATAGCTATTTCTGTGAAAGGAAGGTAATGGCAATAGCTTCCATACTTTGACTTAAGCTCCTCTGGGGCTTCCACCATGCTGAGAAATAAGGGTCCTGCAGTCACAGACAGACGGAAGTACGAGTCCTGCACCTGTCTCTTACAGGTCAGGTGACTTCAGGTGAGTCAGTCAGCCCTCACTGCAAAGCCAGTGCAAGTATCATACAGCACTTCCTGCTTATTTTTCTTACAAACACATTAACTCGTTTCACCCTTAAAACAATCTAATGAGATAGGTCTGACTGACTTCACTAAGTTACAGTCATGTAGAAAGGAAGTAGGGGTAAACATTTCACTGCAGGCAGTCCAAAGCCTAATCAGGCATTACACAGCTCTCCCAAAAGTAAAGCACTTAGAATGGTGCCTGGCACATGGCGTTTATTGGTGGGTCTTGTTATAAGGGTGAGTGAAAAGGGTCTAGATGTGGGGAGCAGCACAAAAGGGAAGGAAAAGCCCAAGAAGCAGCCTGCTTTCAGGTCTCAGTGCTCCAACTCATGCCAAAACCTGATATAACCAGTCTGGCCAGAGCCAGGTGGTCTATAAAGTTGTTTTATAGACCCCTGCAAGAGAGGGTTGGGGGAAGGGAAAGCTGGGAAAGACCATTCCCCACTTCCTAGCCAGCACAGCTGACTTGCTGGCTAGGAAAGCTCTAGTTCCCTCACATCCACCCACAACTTGGGAGGCAACAGGAGAGGGAGGTAAGGAAAACCACCCCCCAGCTACCAATCTGGGAGTGTTTCGTCAGCTGGGCCACAGCCTCTACAGCATTTGGGTCTTACTATGAAGGCAGACACCATAGCTGTGGGCCCAAACACTACATCAGCCACGCCAGGGAACTCTGCCTGTCCGTTCTTAGCGCATGCTCACCTTTCCATAGCTAGCACGGTGATGCTATGTCTGGGCATCCCCTCTCTTTCAAGGCCTGTATGGCCAGGGCAAAGCTGCTCTACCACAGCTGGCGAGACTTCCTGAGCCTGGAATGCACCAACCTTTGTGTGAATGCTGAACTCAGCTAGCATGCAGATGGTCTGGGCTCCTAGAAAGTAAGGAATTCTACCTTTCCTCGTGGTGTGGGACAGAAGGCACATGGGAACAACTTGGTAAAAGCCCTAACCTCTGTATTTAACAATCTAAGAATAGAAATCCCAATGAGGAGGCAAGGACAGCCCTCCTTGCACCCTCTACCAATGTAATGCTACCCAGCTGGCAGGACTTACAATCTCCACCAGCGGCCTGAGCAAAGCAAGCCACAATAACTAAGTATGGGGTGACTTTCCTGGGGATGCTCCTAGGCTTGGAGCAGGCTGGGTGAGTCCTCCCTTCTTAAAGCCCCTACCTTCTGGGTAGTAACTATATTCAAAGGAGCCCCTGCCCGGAAGTTCAGCCTGCAGAGCAACATGTCCCAAAGACTTCCCAGCACATCCCACCCTGAAGGGCTTACCTGCTGCAAAAGGCATTTTGTAGGGGCAGCCACCACAGGTAGTGCCAATGCGGGTAAGAGACAGAGGCAGCACTCCACAGATGCTATAGCCATTCACTCCAGTGTCCTCACTGGAGCAGTAGCGAGAGGAGCTCCAGGGAGGGTGCTGGAAAGGGGTGCCGGAGGGCACGGAGCTTGGGGCTAAGAGGAGCCCCTCCTTAGGGGCAGCCACTGGAGACAGCTTGCCCTCAGGGAGCATGGGACAGGAGGAGTAGCCCCCACACTGTAGCCCATCCTGGCCACAGTACAGGTAGAAACTGCCAAGTGCAGTGAGCTCAGGCCCTCCACACAAACCGCTGTAGTCGGCAGGGTTGCCGGGCATTGGCAGCGGAGACAGCTGTGGTGCTGGGAAAGAGGGCTGATGTAGTTCCTGCTTTGGGGCAGGTGACTCTTCACCTGGGCGCCCAGGTTCTGGCTTCAGGGCTGCCTGCCCACCCATCAAGAGAGGCAGATGGGGATGTATCCCCAAAGGATTCTCCAGAGCCTTGCTCAAGGGCTGGTAAGATGGCTGGACGGATGGCCCTCGAGGAGTGGCTGATGGCCTTGGCTCATTAGTATGCCCTTGCCAGCCTGTAGCCTCTCCAGAGCCAGCCCCCTGCCGGGTTTTTGGATAGTTCTTGCCATTGACCTTGGCCCACTTTGGCCGCAGGACCTTGGGTGCAGGGGGCTCAGCAGAGCGCCCATCTGCTTCTGCGTGGCCACGAGGAGGCCGAAGGGGCAGTTCTCGCTCCTGGCTCAGCTTCAGGAAAGCAGCTGCATTCAGGCTAGCCAGTCTCTTGGGAGCAGGATCTCCATCTCGGCGGCCACTTTCATCTGGTGCTGGCTCTGGGGATAGGTCACGGCTTCCTTCCCCAAGATCTCCCAGCCGAGGCCGCTTCTTGGAGGAAGACCAGCTGCCAGCAGCCCGGTCACGGTCCCGGCTCCGGTGTGGGTCTCCCCCTCGATTGCGGCGGGCACCTGCCACACTACTGGTGTCCTCCCGCTCCAGCAGCAGATTATTGAGGGCCTCTGCATTGAGGGATGCCAGTCGCCGCTTGCGGGGTTGTGGAAGGCCAGTGTCCTCACTAGATGGGGCAGGGCTGGGGGGCTTGGGCAGGTCAGGGGGGAGCTCGTCAGCCTCATCTGCACTTCGTGGACCAGCCACATTTTCCAGGCGAGTCAGCAGGACTTTGCAGGCCTTGGGTTTCTCAGGCACCAATGGGCGCTTACGCAGTGGGTAGTTCTTGCGGCGTCCAGAGAGGTGCCCAGGGCTCTCAGGCATGCCTGGCTCCACACCCTCAGCCGCCTGCTCCACATTACTGTCTTCCATTTGCAGGGGCTCCTGGCGGCCAGTGGGGCCAGAACTCAGCATGGAAAGAGACTTCCTCCGAGTATGTGTCATGGAGTCCCCCCAATCTGCAGAACACAAGTAAGGCACTCAAGAAGAAGCTGTTCGCGCCTGTCCTTGCCTCTTTTCTCCTCCACTACAACCCACCCAGCCTCACCTGCAGAAACTCCGGCCTCCCCTACTGTCTCCGGACTGGATTTTCCTGGGACCCACTTCCAGAGTGCAAAGGGCCAGGGAAATGAGGATATTAGCAGCCATGCACTGCTGATTTCCTCATTAGTCTTTCAGCCCCAATCCCTCCCAACAATGGCCCTGGATACCCTACAGAGCACTTCTGACCTTCCTGCTTGTTCTCCTGCTAGAACAGTGGTAGTAAACCTATGGCATGTATGTGAGAGCAGGCTGTCTGCGTCTCTGAAAGCTCTAAAAAGCTCACCATCACTGCCCTAGAAACTCACTGCAGGGCAAGAGGAGGCTCTGAAGACAGAACCAGGGCAAGGACTTGGGTGTTAGAAGCCCATCTATTCCTTCAAAAGCATTTCCAACCCCTCCGGAAACTCCAGACTTCTGAAACGGTCCAGCAGAGGATTAAGAAGAAAGACAATAAGGAGTCAAGCTGGGGAACCTGACTGCTGGGCCTCAGAGGAAGCCAATCTAGCCACTGAGGACTGCACCTGCCACACAAGCCAGGAATGGCTTAAATGGGTCTTGTTGGAAAAGCATGAAGGGTGAGGAGTCCATGGTTAGGAAGGTCTCAGCCATTCCTAGGAGCTGGCTCCATTTCTGTTCAGATTCCAGGGAAGCATGGTCTAAAAAATGCCTATGCAGCTGGGTATGGTGGTATACCACTAAGGAGGCTGAGGCAGGAGGATTGCTGTTAGTTCAGGGGCAGCCTAGATTACATAATGAATTCAGGACCAGCCTGAACTACATAGTGGGACCCTCTCTCAACCACCCTTCCCCTCCATAAAAGAATGCCTGTGTTATGGAAAGAGGGTCAATAAAGTTAAAAATCAGCACACTCCCAGGGGAAGACTAATTCGGGAAACAAAGGGGGCTATCCTGTTAGTCTGGCTCTGTCCCCTGGTTCTCCTTCTTGGTGGGCAAGATATTGGGCAGCAGACAGGATGGAGTCTCAGGACACCCACAGCTCTTGAGGGAAGATGCCCACAACCATGCATGATCTAGCTTTGCATGGGATGGCCAAACAGACTTTGGGCAGCCTGAGCCCCAGTTCTGGGGTGGGGAAGGCCACCTGTGCCTTGCCCAAGGAGGGGTCAAGACTAAGGTAACAGAACTGCATGTAGGAAGTGGCACGGGGAAACCTCAGAACTGTGCACTGCCTAACTCCCCAACCCAGAGCACAAGCACTACAAAGTGAGGAGCCAAACAGTGCTCCCCTCACCAGGGTCAGGTGATCCTTGCCACTGGGTTTTTCAGCTTAAGTCTTTCCCCTGATACTGACAGTCACACTAGCTCTGTTTAGAGCTAGGAGCAGTCCCTGGTGGGCCAGTATTTAACCCTGCAAGTCCCAAGTCTGTGGATCCCCAGGGATTGATGAGTTCTTCTAGCTAGTCCTCGTGGCTTTGAGCCAGAGGCTGGGGTCACTAAGCAACTTCTCTCCAGAGATATGTAATACTAGCTGAGAAATGCTCCTCAGAAAACCTGAGAGCAGTGTGGGCAACTTGTACCCCAAGAAAGGACTTAGAAAACACAAGGGCAGAAGGAATGCCAGGTTTTGCTCTGGTCACATGCAGGGACCTGCCACTGTCCAGAGACCAGACAAGAGGCAAGACAGTCCCAAGAGGCAAACCCATTTATTGCTGGTGCACAGACAGAACTCTGTAAAGCTTTCCTCCTCTGAATCAGGATGACCACTGTCCCTGACTATTCAACACGCTTGAGAGCAATGCTTCTTTTTATTCTTAAAAGCGTCCCAGTCTTTTATGAGCCATAATTCCTTGTTTCCAAAGCAAGGCCCTCCTTGCCAGAGGTAGAGGAACATATAAGTGGCAGCAAAACACATCCGTATTTCCTAGGAAAATCCAGGGACCTGGAGATGAAGGCTGAGTGCACAGACCATATCACTGAGCAGGGACTGAGCCCCTCAACAGGCCCCAAATTAGCAGAAAGGGCTGGGCCTGGGAATGGCTGGGGGCCAAGGCTGAGGTCACCTGGGCCTGTGGCCTTTGAGGACAGGACACCAAGTACACAACAGAGAGGGGCGAGACGGGAAAAGCTAGCTAGGCTCTCAGAGCACACAGCAGAGTGGGACTGCCCTGTTTGTGGGTTGCAAGCGTGGATAGTCCTGGCACATCTGGCCCCATTCAAGACTTTCTCTCCTCAGCACACAAAATGCCCTAAGCAGGGAAACATGGGAAGGGAAGGCAGTGCTCACTTTAAGGACCCTAAGCCCAGAAGCTGAGAATGTGTTCCCTGCAGACAGTGCTGCTCTTTAACCTCCCATTCAGCACTGAGTGCCTCAGGGACACCCACTGGGGTCAGGGGCACACATCCTGGAAAAGCCTCCAAATCAGTGTAGGTCTCATTTCCAAATCAAGCATGGGAGCCTCCTTCTAGCTGCCCCTAAATCTGCCCTGTCACCTGCTAAAACTACCCAAGGCCATCAAAGCATATTGCAAAACAACTCTCAACTTTCATGTGATGCCTCAGGCGGCTGCAACATCACTGCCCTAAGAAGAGGCTGAGGTCTCTGCTGCCTTCTGCTGCACTCCTAGACAAGAAGAGGAGAGCACGTGTGAGTCACGCTTTGAAGTCCCTATGAGCCTGTGAGAACCTAAGTTGCAGCTTTTCCCTGGGCTTGGGTGGGTGGAGGGGCTCTGGGTCTGCCAGGGCCCCTCCAAGCAATAGGGGATGGGCCCAGCTGGGTTGGCTGTGGGAAGATGATCCCAGGAAGGCAGCAGGCCAATCCTGCTGGCCTTCTTACTCATGGCAGATCAACTAGAAACTTTCTACCAATGCCAGGGACAAGGCAGACTGGGTCTCCTCAGCACTATCTGGAAAGCCCTGTCCATGTAGGCACCAGTAACCCAGGCCTCTTTTGAGAGAAGGCTCCCAAGAGGGACTCCCTGGGGTGCATTACCTCTACTCTAGATGGCGTCAAGCAAGGTCCCACTGGAGAAAACCAGTCTGAAGGTCCGCAGCTCTGAAAGCGGCCATGAAACACAGGGCCACCAGGCTGAACCCTAAATCCCCACGGTATACTCTGCAATCGGCTAACAGACCAGCCCCACCCTAGGTGCACCAAGGTTTCAACATCAAGAGAAAGATCAGGCCCAGTTCAAGTGTCATGGGTCTTAATGGCACCCAAGCCTGCTCAGAGTTACAAGTTGTTACCTCCACAGAGGCATACATGCCCTGTCTCTTGCCTTCAAGTTGCCAGGCTGAAGGAAGAGCATGGATACAGGCAGTGGCACTACAGAGAGTAAAACCAGGGTGGTGTCTGTAGGAAACAGCACAAACTACCTCCAACCCGACAAGAGGGGCCACCTCAGGGCAGACAGGCCTTTGGCCATGGCCCACCCCTCTACTCACTCAGCTCTGAGCAGCCCCCAGCCCTATCCTCCAGGAATCAGGACTGAGGTTCTGGTCTACTTCTCTTCTCAAACTCTCTTATCTACTATACTTGGAATTCTGCTTGATTTTCAATTGGAGGGGAGTGTTTGAGGGTCTTGAATAAGGACAGACTGACCACATGTCACCTGAGTAAGGGCCAGAAAGGGCACTACCCAGCTCCACTATTTTCTCTTGGGTAACTTCTTCCCAAGAAGTTATGTTTGTCAGGAGCGCCAAGTTTCTTGAATTGTCTGTCAAATGAAATCACCAACACAAAGGCAAGCTATTTCTTTTAAATTTTTTTGATCTTACTGCATGGAAAAACATGGGATGCTGCTATAGTTCTTATGGTAAAGCCAGGGAAAGGCCCTGGCGTCTTTTGAAAATAAGAAAAAGAAAGACTCAAAGCTCTGAGGCATGCAGATCTGGATTTAAATGTTAGCTCTGGGCTACAGGTGTAGTTCAGTTATAGAACACTAGCCTGTCATATGTGATACCTTGGAGTCAATCTCCAGTAAGGCAAAAAAGAAAGAAATTAATTAATTGCTGGCTCTGCCCACTATGAGCAATTTACTTTACTTTTCTGAACTTTGGCTTCCTCCTCTAAAATGGATACAACAAAAACCTCACTTAATAGGGAGGGTGGGATGGATGTCAAGTCATTGTGCCTAGCAGTTAGCAGGAGACCCAGGGCAGTTTTTGGCTGGGATGCCAGCCTCCTCCTGTGGTTGAGAACCTGAAAACTCAACCTGCACCTGAACTCTGCTCTCCTGCTGTGCTTCAGACACCCAACTGTCCACCTTAAGGAAGGGCAACCACACCGTTCCTTGCAGAGCCACTGTGGAGTGAGCTGAAGGGAAGGGGGAGCTCAGTTTACAATATTGTGAGAGGGCAGGGCAGATACTATATCCCTGCAAACCCAGACAATACTTTCATGCCTCAGAAAGTGAGTTCCTCAAGGCCAAGGTCACCACCAAACCCAGAATGAGGTTAGAGGGCATGCACTCTGCTGCTCTGACATCTGGCTGGTATTTCAGGGTTGGCACCCACAAATAACACAAGTCTCAGTTCTGGCAGCACAGGTCTCCAATTCCAAGCGCTGCCAGTGAAGAGTAGTTCTCTTGGCCACCAGCACTGCCCATATGGAGCCATTCAGTCGTAACTGCTGCAGGCTCTCAATTCTCCCTGCAGCCTGGTTAGGCCCCTTGACACACCTGGGGGGAAGCACTGTACACAACCCAAAAGAACTGGCCTGACCCATAAAGACACAGGGCTGAGAGTCTGGTGGCCATCTGAGGAGCTGGGTCCATGTCCCAGAAGCACCAATCCTATCTATGACCTGTCACACCACCTGCCCTTCACATTTACGCTAGGGCTCTGGGAGCCTAGAGGCAGGACTAGCCATGTGGCAAACATTCACATCCATCCCATGCAGGCAGGCTTTGGTTTGTCTTCCAGCCCAGTCCTGTGGCCAGGCCTTACCTTTGGCTCC